TGAGGTCGAGCTCGGCCGAAAAGTGTTTAACAAAATATTAACAAATTTAAGATAATCAATTCCGGAAAGTGTTTTCAGCTTTTTAAAGTAAGGAATTCACTTTTCTAAATTTATACATGAATGGTTTTCTTGACCGGAAAGTGTTTTTGGTTGATTAAATTATTTCTGACAACCAAATGGATGAAAATCCGGAAAATGATTTCACCAAAACAAATGAACTCTTACGTAAATGTGATGGCAATGAGGAATCAAGGTGATGTGACAAGTAGATGAATATACCCGCGGTCAACACCCACCGAATCAATAACCTAATCCCAATAAAAAAAAAGGGTCATACCATCTTGTACAATGTCACAACTTCTGTTAAGCTATCGAGAATCTTGCTTTTATGTGCACTCGGAAGAGCTTGGTGTTTGCCCTTTTTTTAAAAAAACACTATGCACTATAGCATCCACTTTAGAGATGCTTTCTTCGATTTCTAATTTGCACGTTGGCTGGGATAGTGTTGACAGCCCACTCTAAGAATATTGACGTCCGATCTCTGATAATTATAGCTCATAATCATTAGTTAGATTTAAATGACTAAAGTCCGTCAATGCTCTTGTGATAACATTTGGAAGAGTGGTTGCGCTGGGGAAACCTCTTCGCCCTTTTATTTATAAAAAAATATTAATAGTTGGCATAACTGAATAGCACTATAATAATGGAGCATCCAAACTTTAGAGAACTTTTCCCTTTCTTTTTCTTTATTTTTCTTTTTAATTTGGCCAATGTTGGTCTCGTACACTTTTTGCACTAGCCCACTCTAAAAGAATATTGCCGTCCGATCTCTCCAGCATGCTTAACTAGTCAAACTTCCAATCCATATTAAAAAGGCTAAACTTAGCATTTCAAATCACTTCAAACCATACCCCTCAATACTCATACATACCCAATACCATGGGCGGTCTAGAGCTAGAAGCCCCGCCCCCCCTGCCACCGCCACCGCCGCGGTTGCCAAATCGAAAAACCCAATGGCCCCGAACAATGTGGACGACGCCGAGGACGACCTCTCGCCCATCGAACAGGTCCGGCTCACCATGACCAACACCGACAACCCGACCCTGCCCGTGTGGACCTTCCGGATGTGGTTCCTCGGGGTACTCTCTTGCACCCTCTTCTCCTTCCTCAACCAGTTCTTCGCGTACCGGACCAAGCCCCTCATCATAAGCCAGATCACCGTGCAGGTGGCGACCCTCCCATTGGGTGGTTCATGGCGGCCATGCTCCCCGCTGCCCAATTCCGGGTCTCGGGGCTTGGGCCGAGGACGTACTCGCTCAACCCAGGCCATTCAACATGAAGGAGCACGTGCTCATCTACATCTTTGCCAATGCCGGGAGCGCGTTCGGGTCAGGCTCGGCCTACGCCGTGAGCATCGTCAACATAATCAAGGCCTTCTATAGTCGAAGGACTTGGCCTTTCAATCAAAAGTTCCGATAGGTTCATTTTATTTTATTTTATTTCTACGGCTTCTTGTTTTCTTAACATTATTTTTTCTTTTTTGCATGAATATATCTTCATTTCATTTTATTTAATTTCATATTGCGATCGAGGTTCCCAAGTGACCCTTTTTCTAAGAATTCCCCGCAAAATAAGTGACTTGCAATAAGTTGCCCACGGAATTTTATAATTCGAAAATTCTAAAATAGCTATTTTATTAGCTTTAAAGGGGGAGCAAGCAAAAAGAATGTTTTTAATAGATTTTCTTGGTTACGTATTTTTCTTAAATAAGTCTATACTTTTTCATGATTAAAAAAGAGATAATTTGGTAGTGGGTAGGCCCGAGCGATGATGTGCTGTGGAATTGCTTCCTCATTTTTATGGTTGGATGAGATGAGATCTCATCGCCAGCTGGTGCGGAACACTTAAGGACAACAGGGGTTTATATTATTATATCTAGGATACCAAACTTGTTTTTTTTTTTGGTTAAAAGATACCAAACTTATTGTACACTATAAAAATCCCAAAAAATATCTAGAGATGGTCCTAACGTATGAATCCCCATTAGCATAAAATATTCCTAACATATTCCGATTTGCACTTTGCACGAGGAAAAGGTCGTAACACGTGCCGGATCTTTCGCACGTCGCTCATTTCGGTATCATAACTTTTGATATAAATTTTTGAATGTCGTTCATTACAAGCCCCATAAAATCTTATGATGTCAGGCTTTCCGGCAGGGGAAATCGCCGACGTCGCTCGAGTGAACTTTTTTCAAAAGTTACGGTACCCGAGTGATCAGTTAAGAAGGTGAGGCGTCAAAGTGAGCATTGAACACAATTTATGGCATTTGTGGTATCCTAATCTTCGATTTGTACTGTTTACTGCTCGTTTCACCTCGAGATTGCAAGGAAACCCTAGGTTTTACACTTTGGAGTTTGAAGAAATTCGATGAAATACGAGGACCCCAAAAAAAAATTTATGTTTTCTCCGATATAAACCTTACTTACAAGCTATCGAAATTTCGAAATTTGGAGAATGAGAGTGCAGGTGTTGCGGTATGGATGGGCGGGGCTGCTGAGGAAAGTACGTGGTGGAGCCTGCTCGCGTGTGGTGGCCTAGCACTGTCGTTCAAGTCTCCTTCTTCCGGTTAGTAATATTTTATTTGTTCATTTTAATTTATTTATTTATAATATTTTAGGAAAATTGCACAAATTTTTTTTTAGGATAATTAATACTGTCTGCTGCTCGAAATCAAGAGATCATCTCAACCCCTCGACTCATTCGAATTCTTCACTTTAAATTACGACCTGAAGGGATAAATGGATCTATGCCACACCCAAATAAGGAAATCTAATAATTAAAATAATAGGACATCTATAACTACAATGGCTCGCGCCATATGCACATTCGATCATGGGTAGAAATTTCTTTTTCCTAGTATGAAATTCATTTTGCTTCGAGGTTAGTGCTAGCCTCGCGAGTGAAACACGTAACGTCGGCTGCGAGCCCTTGTTCCGAAAACTAAGCGAACGCTTCTCGATAATTCCCGTCGTATCATTTAATATAAAATCGTGATAAGATTTCTTAATGGATTTTAAACTTCTCTTTCTTTTTCGCTCTCGCCACTAACAAAAGAAAGGAAGGAAGAGGCAGACGACTTGGACATTCGTGCCACGGATTGGCCATCCCGTCGCCTTTCGCGCACACGCTTGAGAACTGCCGTTCATGTTCGCGCGTGCAATTTGCCGCCGCGCCTTGTTATTTTCAACAAAGCGTGAGCTGAAAAGGAGGGGATAGAATCGAATTGAACGTCAAAGGTATGGGCACATGTTTGAGGTCTTGTCCCCATGTGGGAGCTGTCGGCACGCCCGGCGGTCTTTTTTTTTTTTTTATAAATTATTTTTTAAAGTGTTATCTTTATAATAAATAATTGTGTTTTGGGTCAAATTATAATGAGTAATTAGGCAGCCACGCACACACATAAGCCCACGGTTGAAGACCACATAAAGCGGAGAGAAAGAAGAAACGCCCACACTCGAACAATGCCGGTCCGATGCCGCGACCCGAGCCACTTCCGTTCGTAGATAGAGAGTACACGCGGGTAGGGTCGCGACCGCGCCCCGTATCCGAGTAATTTCGGTCCGGTCCGACGTCACGATCCGAGCCAGTTCCGTGATTTAGAAGATACTACTTGGTACGGCACGAGACCTGCCCGTTTTCTGTTGTATGAAGGAGGCTCGTGTTGCGGTGCGAGGACACCGGCAGATGCGGGATCCTTGAGCTTGGAAGGGCCGGACTGGAACAATTTTTTTAGCAATTTGAGTTAGATCACGATGCATGTTTAGCAATTGTATTAGCAATTTGTATTAGCAATTTTTTTAGCAATTGTATTAGCAATTTGTTTAGCTTGAAGGGGAGGCCGGAAACGATAGTGTCGTATGGAATTGGAGTTAGATCACGATACATGTTTTCGTAATATTGGCATCTAGGGTTAAGCGGTTATAGAGTGCGCACGGCAGCCTTTGCCGGCCTCTTCGCTCCGTCGTCTTGTACGTGTATATTTATATGTATTTATGTACGTACGTACGTATGCGTGTGTGTTTAGTGATGGTTTATTGAGTAATAAGAAGAAGAGTTGTCCACGCGTGGATGACGGGAAAATCAATGGGACCTTGGCTGGTCTATTACGGCGACTCCCGTGATCCATGGAAAACGACCAATGTGACCTAATTCGTGTGTGATCAAAGTCAACGGTGTCGAGTCAACCCGCGATCCGGCAGCCCCCCATCACGTGGGTGGCCCTAGATCAAGTATAAATTCCGTCCTAGATTCGATCATCCCCTCACAATCAAGTTCTAAATTTGTCGTGCGAATACTAATTCAGTCCTAGACTTTTCGATTTTATCAATATGGCCCTAACCCTCTGCGTGGAACTCCAATATCGTCCTTCCGGCTGATTATGTAGCCGATAATCGTCGACATGGCACCGTCATTGCCGGCAAATGGGCAACTTCACTCGAAAACGGCATCCGCGTGGACCGCCACGTCGCCGAATTTTCCGGCAGCGCTTGGCGGGAGGGGGGGGGCAGTACATTGGAGTTTCGCGCGGAGGTTTTAGAAGAACTGCATCGGCAAAATCGAGTAATTATAGCTCAAATCGAATATTGAGTGGCGGGTGTGAAGCTCTTATGACGGACATTCGGAAGAGTAGTTGCGCTGGCGAAACCTCTTCGCCCTTTTATTTATTAAAAAAAATATTAATAGTTGGCATAAGTTAATCGCACTATGACAATGGAGCAGCGCATCTAAACTTTAGAGAACTTTTCCCTTTCTTTTTCTCTATTTTTCTTTTTAATTTGGCCAATGATGGCCTCGTTCCCTTTTTGCACTAGCCCCACTCTAAAAGAATATTGACGTCCGATCTCTCCACCATGCTCCACTAGTCAAACTTCGAATCCATATTAAAAGGGCTAAACTTAGCATTTCATATCACTTCAAACCATACCCCTCAATACTCATACATACCCAACACCATGGGCGGTCTAGAGCTAGAAGCCCCGCCCTCCGCCACCGCCACCGGCGCAGTCGCCCCGAACGATGTGGACGACGCCGAGGACGACCTCTCGCCCATCGAACAGGTCCGGCTCACCGTGACCAACACCGACGACCCGACCCTGCCCGTGTGGACCTTCCGGATGTGGTTCCTCGGGGTGCTCTCGTGCGCCCTCCTCTCCTTCCTCAACCAGTTCTTCGCGTACCGGACCGAGCCCCTCGTCATAAGCCAGATCACCGTGCAGGTGGCGACCCTCCCCGTCGGGCGGTTCATGGCGGCCGTGCTCCCCGAGGCCCGGTTCCGGGTCCCGGGGCTCGGCCCGAGGACGTACTCCCTCAACCCGGGGCCGTTCAACATGAAGGAGCACGTGCTCATCTCCATCTTCGCCAATGCCGGGAGCGCGTTCGGGTCGGGCTCGGCCTACGCCGTGAGCATCGTCAACATAATCAAGGCCTTCTATGTCCGGAGCATCTCCTTCTTCGCCGGTTGGCTTCTCATAATCACGACCCAGGTAAAATTCCCTTACTATCCAATGGGGGTCTCTCTTTTTCTCTTTTTTGCATGAATATATCTTCATTTTCTTTAATTTCATTTAATTTCAACCAAGTTGGCCACGGAATTTTATAATTCGAAAATTATAAAATAACCATTTTATTAGCTTTTTAAAATAAGTCTATACTTTTTCGTGATTAAAAAAAGAGATAATTTGGTAGTGGTATGCCCGAGGAAAGATGTGCTGTGGATTTACTTCCTCCCTCCTCGTTTATATCGTTGGATGAGATAAAGATCTAAAGCGCCAGCTGGTGCGGAACACCTACGGACAAGCAGAGGTTTATCTTATACCTAGGATGCCAATCTCATCGTACAATACAAAAATTCCGAAAATATCTGGAGATGGTCCCAACGTATGAATCCCCGTTAGCATAAAATAATTCCTAAGATATTCCGATTCGCACTTTGCACGAGGAAAGACGGGGCGTAACATGTGCCCGTATCTTTCACTTTGGCGTCATGGCTTTTCAATCGACCACTTGAATGACAATTACGTTCACTGCAAGTGTCGTAAAGTCTGATGATGCCGGGTTTTCAATGTCGCTCGAGTGAACATTTTTTCCAAAACTACGGCACTTGAGCGATCGATCGAAATTATGGAGCGTCATAGTGAGCGCCGCACCGAAATCACGACATTTGTGAGGTCCTAATCATTGCTCTGTACTGTTTGCTGCTCATTTCACCCCGAGATTCCGAAAAAGAACCCCCTAGGTTTTACGGTTTGGAGTCGAAGGAATTCGATGAAATGCGAGGACCCAGAAAGAAAATCGCATGTTTTCTCCGATCCGATCTAAACCTTGCTTACAAGCTATCGGAAATTTCGAAAATTTTGGAGAATGAAAAGTGCAATGGAATGAGAGAGTGCAGGTGTTGGGGTACGGATGGGCGGGGCTGCTGAGGAAGTACGTGGTGGAGCCTGCTCACATGTGGTGGCCAAGTACTCTCGTTCAAGTCTCCCTCTTCCGGTTAGTAATATTTTTTATTTTATTTTAATTCATTTAATTTATAATATTTTAGGAAAATTGCACAAATTATTCTTTCTCCCGTAGATAATTAACAACGTGTCTCGACCATCGGCTGACTCAAATTCTTCGCTTTACATTGTTAGAGTAATTAAATATTAAACCATGCCTTCATCTAATAGCTTAAGCTTTTAGAACAGCTGGCAGTGATCCTACCAAATTTAACATACGTTACGCCGTGAAGGGATAAAATAGGGTCAATTAACCTTCTCTAACCTAAATGGATCTATGTCACGCCAAGAAAGGAAATCTAATAATTAAATTGATTATGATCATTATTAGGACATCTATCACTATAATAGTCGGCGTCGTATGTACATTTCAATTTGAATACAATTGAATTCATTTCCATTGTCCGACGCCGTGGGCGGGAATTTTTCGTTTATAGTATGAATGAAATTCAATTCGCCCGTGTCAGGTCCGGTACCGGCACCGGTCCGATGCGAGAGCCAAGCACGTCGGGAACGAGGAGGTTCGGGTTGCGGTGTGAGGACACCGGCGGACGCGAGAACCTGGACCTGGAAGGGCCGGGCTAGAAAATTTTTAGCAGCGTTTAGCTTAAAGGGGAGGCCGAAAACGATAGTTTCGTATGAAATTCGAGTTAGATCACGATACACGTTTTCGTAATATCGCATCCAGGGTTAAGCGGTTATAGAGTGTCGCACGGCCGCCTTTGCCGGCCTCTCCGCTTCGTCGTCTTGTATGTGAATATTTATACGTATTCATGTACGTACGTATGCGCGCGCGTGTTTAATGATGGTTTATTGAGTATGAGAAGAAGAGTTGTCCTCGCATAGATGGCGGGCACAAAATGGGGACCTTGGCTGGTCTACTATGGCGACTCGCGTGATCCACGGAATCCGACCAATATGACCTAATTCGTGTGTTCAAAGTCAACGGGGCTTGAGTCAACTCACGATCCGACGCCCCCCCGTGACGTGGGTGGCCCTGAATCAAGTATAGATTCCGTCCTTAGATTCGATCATCCCGTCTTAACCCAGTTTTAAATCTTACGTGCGAACGCCAATTCAGTCCTAGATTTTTCAATTTTGCTAATACGGTCCTAACCCTCTACGCGAAAACTCTAATGTCGTCCTTCCGGCTAATTGTGAGCCGATAATTGCTGACACGGCCCTATCATTGCCGGCCGATGGACAACTTCACTCGAAACGACGTCTGCATGGACAGCCATGTCACCGAATTTTCCGGTAGCACTTGGCGGGGGAAGCACATTGGAGTTGGCGCAGATGTTTAGAATTCTATTGACAAAATTGATATGTTTAAGACTGAATTGGCATCCGTACGATAAATTTAAGACCGAACCAGTAATTTTCCCTCAAAGACTTCTATGTCATTAAGCTTGACGAATAACACCTAAAAAAAAATCCTATTTAATTTATAAATTATCGTATAAATAACACATGAACATATAATTTAGGTATATCCCTAGCTAGCTTTATTTTATGATTGACTTTATTACTGAATTCGTGACCTTCCACTTTTCTTCATCCTTATACCTTAGTAATTATTCTCTTTGAATAGTCCCATCTGGAGTCATAATAAATCAAAGATTTCTAGATAACTATGTATGTAAATCGCCAGACACTAGACAGGATCATGACAAGGACGACGCATCGATGTCTAACAAGTGGAAATTTTGCAGTGTATATTTCTGACTTTTTTTTTTCTGTGAACATGGTTACATGCATTGACTACTGTATTGTGCTCCGCTGAAGTCTTTATAGCTGTCACGTAAGGGTCTAAGAAGATCATACCAGCAATTCTTACTTTAGCCAGGAAATTAAGGAGCGTTTTGCTACTCGAAATGCGACTTAAGCGGGACGTTGATGCCGGAAAATTTACCGCCGAAACTGTATCAGGCCGCCTTAGGAGATAGTTAGGCCTAGAAGGTATCTAACCCCTGATCAAGGTCAGCAAAGTGGAATCTGTCCCGTACCGAAAGCGGTGCGACAAGATTTTGAGTTAGAGCCGAGTACGACGTAGATCCGATCTACAAGCATAAGCCAATCAGCAGCAATTAGGAACAGCAAGGCAGAGTGAGAGACCTAAACACCGTTCATTAAGTACAAATAACAATGTCCATTGTCGACGCTTTCCGTTCTGCAAGGAAAAGATGACCATACTCCTAGAGACATAATGACATAATGGGCTTAAGAAGTTATACTTTGATTCTGAAGTTTTTTGAGTATCTGTATGATGAAAATTCAGTAACTGTCAAGTGTTTGATGGCCATACCATAATGAAGTGTGTCGTCGTTGTGATAATCGGCACTTTTGGAGGGTGCATTTGCCGATGATAAGCTCAATCTGCAATAATAATCACGTTCATCAGATTCTGTCATCTGAAATCGGTATGCAATATGAATTTCGCAGGGCCTTGCATGAGAAAGATGATCGACGCATGTCACGGGGAAAATTCTTTGTGATAGCCTTGATATGCAGCTTCTCGTGGTACGTCGTCCCGGGCTACCTCTTCCCGACACTCACAAACATATCCTGGATCTGCTGGGTCTTCTCCAAGTCAGTCACAGCTCAGCAGATTGGGTCCGGGATGCAAGGGCTCGGGCTCGGAGCACTGACCCTCGATTGGACTGCGGTCTCATCCTTCTTATTCAGCCCTCTCATATGTCCGTTCTTCGCCATAATGAACGTCTTTGCAGGATACGCATTGGTGGTGTATGTTGTCATCCCGTTAGCGTATTGGGGATTCAATTTGTACAGCGCAGATAGATTTCCCATCTTCTCGTCGCACTTGTTCACGAACCAAGGCCAGACATACAACATCTCTGCCATCGTGAACGAGAACTTCGAGCTGGACGTGGTCAAGTACGGGGAGCAAGGACGGATTCATCTGAGCATGTTCTTCGCTCTCTCTTACGGGTTTGGTTTTGCCACGATCGCGTCCACACTGACTCACGTGGGCTTCTTCTATGGAAGGTACTAAATACTCTTGATCTGACTGAATTTCTGGATCTTGGCTTTTATCCTCTGATGTGAACGAAATAGATTCTGAAATGTTCATTGCTTGGACAATGGGAACAGAGAAATTTATGAGCGGTATCGTGCCTCGTTCAAGGGGAAGGAAGACGTCCACACGAGATTGATGAGAAGATACAAGGACATACCTTCGTGGTGGTTTCATTTGTTGCTCGTTCTGACTGTTGCGGTGTCTCTCGCACTCTGCATATTCTTGAACAAGGAGGTCCAAATGCCGTGGTGGGGACTTCTCTTTGCCAGCGCCCTCGCTTTTATCTTCACTCTTCCAATCAGTATCATCACCGCCACGACAAATCAGGTCATTATCTGCTGACAAAAAACAAACTCATCTTACCGCTTTGCATCATTAGTACCTTATAGCGTTGACACCAATTCTTGATACGACCTTGGTTTACAGACGCCAGGATTGAACATTATAACGGAATATATCATGGGGGTGATATATCCAGGACGACCAATAGCAAATGTGTGCTTCAAGACCTATGGCTACATGAGCATGGCCCAAGCTGTGTCCTTCCTCAATGACTTCAAGCTTGGACATTACATGAAGATCCCCCCAAGATCCATGTTCTTAGTTCAGGTACATTATATAGCTTCCTTATGACTAAAAATCTTAGATGCTGGCTGATTGTTGAAATGCAAAACCCGCCGTGGTTGATGCAGTTCATCGGCACGATCATCGCCGGAACCATCAACATGGCCGTGGCATGGTGGCTACTCAACTCCATCACCAACATATGCCAGGATGAGCTCCTGCCGCCGGACAGCCCCTGGACGTGCCCAAGCGACAGGGTCTTCTTTGATGCCTCCGTGATATGGGGCCTGGTGGGGCCCAAGCGCATCTTCGGGGTCCAAGGGAACTACCAGTCCATGAACTGGTTCTTCCTCGGCGGCGCAGTGGGCCCGTTCCTAGTCTGGTTGCTGCACAAGGCATTCCCGGACAAGTCCTGGATCCCACTGATCAACCTTCCAGTGCTCCTTGGGGCAACGGGTTACATGCCACCCGCCACACCGTTGAACTACAATGCGTGGGTCCTCGTGGGGACAATATTCAATTTCTTTGTCTTTCGTTACCGGAAGAAGTGGTGGCAGAGGTACAACTACGTCCTCTCTGCAGCAATGGACGCGGGAGTGGCGTTCATGGCAGTGCTTTTGTACTTTTGTCTAGGAATGGAGAACAAAGGACTGAATTGGTGGGGAACGGGCGGCGAGCACTGTGACTTGGCGAGTTGTCCGACCGCCAAAGGGATATCTGTGGATGGATGTCCGACAAAATAATCTAAATTCACCAGAAAAATGCACGATGGATACAATCAGAAAAGTTCTAAGCTAATGGAGTCTGATTACAGGAAATGTAGACGTTTGATATACTTCATTTTTCTCACACGTCACCAAACTTGTGGATTTATTCGTTTGCATTAGTCATTGGATAGAAGTATGATGAATGGTTTCAGTATAGTACTTCGCTTGGAGATACAGAGAGGAGGGTCAGGATTGATTAAAGCTGAAGTAATCAAACTGTTATCAGCAGCCATGGCCATCGTCTCTATCTGGGATGATCCTATTCCTCAACTCAGGGGGCTTCTAGGGATTTTAGCACGGCTTTGGACTCATTCATGCTTGTAAGGAACTTTCTTCCAGTAGCTTTACCGCAGAATGTGGATGCAGTACCAACACAATGTCCAAGGCCAGTTCTTGACCTTCATCGATCAATCCAAGGTCCAAGGCCAGTTCTGAGATGTATCTATGTAACCGGAACAACAGAATGTTGATGCAGTACCAAGCTTCTTCACAATACAAATTTCGAAAAACCGTGCAAAGTATAAAACCAACAACTCCCTTATGAAGAATGAAAGCGAAGCACCAGTTGCTCAATAACATCTCCAACAGTTGTATAGCTTACATAAGGCCGAGCTATTGATTCTTCGTCTTTCAAAGAGCTTGCTCAACAAAACAGAGGTCTAACCATACAAAACAAGCGCTACTATTTATGCTGTCCACGAAATTCAAAAAGTAAATGTCTTAAGAGAGTAGCTAAAATTGTACACCTTATAGGACGGGTTGGAGAAGTTCCTAACCTACTTCCGTCGTTTCCCTGTCAAAATGCAACAAGCAGTAATTTTGAAAAATAGCACATCGCAGCATTTGATTAATCATACCTTGGATGTATGTGTATTTCTTACACAATCACTTGGAGGTTGGCTTTGACGGGATACAAGAGGGCTTCAATTTTCGAACAATCAATCTTGTCGGGTCACGAATCTGTATGAAAGATAACCAAAAGTTATTAACGCAGCGTAATAAACTTTCAACACAAACAAATCTTGGCAATACCCTTAAAGTTTTTACATACTACTACCATTGTAATCTTCTACGTAATTAGTATCTTAATCATGAACGAGTACGCAAGTGTTCAGTTGATTTCTTACACAAGCGGATTGGGACCTATGCTCTGAATTTGCACGAAGACTTTAGTAGTTGATGGAGAGATTAGTGGTCCTATCATTTAGGAATAAACACAAGCAGATGGAGGGCAGATTCGATAAAAGAATAAATTCAGTCAATTTCCATGCGTAAATCATAAAAATGATATTGGAATTGCCAACACTATGAATATACTCAATCAGGTGGTGGGAAGATTCAAAAAGAGAATAAATTCAGTCAACACCAATGCAAAAAACATAAAAAAAAGATGGGATTGCCAATACTAGGAATATACACAAACAGGTGGTGGGCAGATTCAATAGCTAAATCTATAAGAACACAACCCAAATTACTTGATAATGTATGGGACATTGATATCAAATCTACCCAAAGCACTGTATTGTAATCAGCTTTGAACAATCAATAAGTCGTTCATCCACTTTATTCAAGCGAGTTAAGGGGAAGTTGTCTTCAAATGGAATCCATAGAGAGAATGAGGTAAGGACAGAAAAGAGAGACTTACAAACTTTTTGGTAACTCTATTATAGAAGTGTAAACCAGGTCATAATACAAGCTTTTATTTACTTTTCTTGCCCGCCTTAGATTTACTGACTATTAGAAGAAATCACATTCTTTTATTTGAACGACTACTTTTCTCCGATTAAGTTATCGACTAGTATGGAGTTGCCGGCTTTCATCTGAGTTGCTTATTACAAATATTTGTTTTTGTCTTATGTTTACCGATTTTTTTGTTGAGTTACCTCTTCTATTTGTCTAGCTTGCCAACTTCTTAATTTTATCAACTCTTTTTGGACATCGCCAATCGCTATTGGAGTAATTGACCAACTTTCTCTGATTAAATTACTAATTATCTGGCATCACAAACAGTTGTTTCAGTTAATTGAAGATATTTATTTGGTTTTTTAAAATATTAAATTCTCTTTTCTGAGAACCAAAAAAAGCTTTTCTTTCGTCTTTTATCAACCTTTATTTATCTTTTTTACCGACAGCTTAAATTTACCAACTATTATATGAACTTATCAACTTTCATTTGTGTGACTTACAAACTTTTCTCCAATTAGCTCATATTTGAGATGCTTTCCAACATTTATTAGTTTTTTCTTATGTTTGGTGACTTTTCTGTTAACTTGCAAATTTTACTTGCCTTCCCAACTTTTTTCAATGTATAACTCCTTTTTTTATATATTTATAATTAACAACCTCGATTGGAGTGATTAGCGACTTTTCTCTTATGAAGTTACCAATTAGTTTTGTTCTACCAACTCTTACCTGGGATAGTTACTACATTTGCCAAACTTTGCTGGGTCAAGGTGGAGATTTGAATTGCGATTATGTTAAAGTAAATTAACTTATGAATTACGCACGAGCGGGCCTAATGCTAGAAGGTTACATGTTAGTGGGAGATTTATTGAGGCATATGTGTGAGGGCGTTAGGACAAACATATCTCACATCGTGGATGTGATGCATGGTGAAGTCGTTAATATATTACAATTAGACTATATCCCATACCTTTGAGTGAAAGCGAATTTAACTGAATATGATCCAAATTAGTGGGGATATTATGTGATTAGTTCGTATCCAAAATAGAAAATTCAACTAAGCAGGTCGAAAAAGAGATGGTTGAATCAAAATAATTCCCTTTAAAGTTCTATTTCTATCAGAGGGCAATATGAATGTTTTGTTGTGTTCCACCAACACACTAAAAGGGTTTTACGATATATAGGGTGTGGAAGTAGGCCAACATTTCTATCGGCAAACAGGAGGTTTTCAAGTTAATAGACTTGGATTTGGACTCACTATTGATGATCTTTCCGGATGAAAGTATCGAACTTCTCCTGCGCCTCCCAACAGACCGAATTTTCACAAAATACACATTTCCTGATTATATTTGAGAAGATAATTTTGGGCATCTAGCCATCCGATTAGTAGAGGTTATTGGACGCACAAGGCGCACATGAACTAAGTTTGTCCGGGCGCTAGGATCTAAGTTAGTCCCATACGTAATAAAGCAAATCCGATCCTAGGGCTTGTTGTGCATGAATTTGTTCGTCATGTATGGAGCTCCTTCCAATGCAACATGGTTCTCCACGCCTCACAAACAACCCCAGTAAGGGCCGTCCCTGCGAATCGCCTGGCTTGTCAAGCATGTTCCACCTTAAACTATGCATATTAGGCTCAGCAATTATAGCAAAAACTAATCTTAATTCGCGCATTCCAATGTCAATCATCTTTGCGTCATTCTCCGATAAATTACTCTCCCTAATATAAAAACCCTTTTCTGTTTAGATAACATCAAACATTGTTTCCATCTCCAATTCATTATCTCTCTGATCCAACCGGGAAGAGAGAAGAACATAATGTCGGAGGTCCATCCTTCGATGAGCCCGAAAGAGGAGCTTGACCCGAACCCGCCTCGGATGCCGGCGGCCCACCACTTGACAGGCCGTCGGCACCGAAAGAAGGGCATCGGGATCAAGACCTGGCTTGTGGTCGACTCGACAGGCCAGGACCAGCTCATTGACGCGGGGAAGCACACGATCATACGGCGGACGGGGCTCTCGGCGCGGGATCTGCGGATCCTTGATCCGTCGCTGTCCTACCCGTCGGCCGTGACGGGGCGGGAGAGGGCGCTGGTGATCAAACTGGAGCACATAAAGGGAGTGATCACGGCCAAGGACGTTTGGCTGCTCAACTCCAAGGATCCCGCGGTGGCTCCTTTCGTGGAGGAGCTCAAGAATCGGTGCTCGCATCATCATCAGGCCAACGCCATGAAGGTTTGGAGTTTTATTTTCGAGCATATCAATACAATAGAACTGTATTAAAGGAGACATGGACTGTACATCCGTGGCATCTGATTGATTTGTCCAAAGTCAGCATTAGCCACTTTACATGATGAAGTTTGAGAATTATTTAGCTGCTCTTGGAGGACAAAGTCCCCGTTTGCTCATGTCAACCACCGCATTCCTATTTATGCTATTAGACGTCCTTGTCCTTTGGTTTAACACTTAATGTCTCATCTGAATTTAACACTTAATTTTCAGTTGTTTCGATTGGACCGTTGAACTTTTGTCCAACACGAAACACCATTCCTAAACTTTTAATTGGTTTGATTTAGTTCTTGAGTGATTTTGATAAGTCCAATGTGAACTTTACCTTGAGGCTTCTTTTGTTTCGCGGGAAACGAATGATTTGGGAAACATTTTTCTAAACATGATCGTTTCCATCATTTGAAATAATCAATCGATGAAAAATGTTTCATTGTCGACAACAATTTACGTCTAAACATTTTCGTGGACAATGAATTTTTTTTTTCATTCATTCGTTCATTTTTATAATTGATACAAGCGATTATTTTTTGGAAAATATTTTCTAAATCATTCATCTTTCTCGAAACAAATGTATCCTTCGAAAAGCTTCCAAAATCGGGACAAAATCACTCAACCTTATACAGCTATTGTCATATTTTTACCCAAGTTTTGAATCAAGATTGTGTGAACTAGAATGGATAGATGATTGTTCACTATGCCTTGACAACAAAACAACTCAGTTTACTAGTAGAATTTAAGGTTTACTTTTCTTGTTCTTATTGACCTATTTGAAGTGATTGAGAAAAGACAAAAAAGAAGTCAGAAATAACCAGACATCCACTCTAAAATACGTGAAATCAGCAACATAGCAAAGTAGTTCACCTGTGTATTAATTTTACTCTCAAAGTCAAACTCTGCATCTTTTTCAACTAGAAAAAGAAAAATTTTCGGTAAGTGGTGCAGCTACAATCTAGAAAGCCATCTATCACTTCCTAAGATCTCCTGAGAACTATCATTTTCAATTAATTTTGTCATTAAAAATTCGTCCTCTCACCATCTCTTTGGGGCTGAGCCTGGGTAGCCATTCCTGGTGAAGTAGTACTCTGTTTGTTTTATTTATCCAATGTGCAAATGGTGCAACGCACAATTCGTACCCCAGATACCGTCTCCATCTCTTCTGTACAGCAATATCGCCGTTGACCGACCATCGGAACAGATATCGCCCGTGAAAATGAATGTTGGTAAGCTAAAACTAGTTGACTCATGAAAAGCTCCGATAACAGATATCGCCCGCGAAAATTTATTTTTCTTAGTTACGGTAGTCGATAGCTGTTAAAAAACTAGATACCGGATTTCATTTTGCAGCCATTTTTCCTTGGTTGTCATTCTCTCGTAGTAGGTCAACAGAACCAGTGGTGATGAAGAGCAATCTGAGGAAGCTTTACATCAAGTTCTTGAAGCTGCACAACAGAACGTATTGCACCCTCGAGAGTTTAAGCAACAACATGACAGATCAGAGACTCTTCCTTTTGAGTTTGTGGCCTTAGAGGCATGCCTTGAAGCTGCATGCTCTAGTTTAGACGATGAGGTAATGACTCTGGTTTTTATCTGCATTATCTGCATTGGAGAGCAGTATATTGTAACTATCGTTCCTCAAATTGTTTGCTGAAAAATTTAGGCAAAAGCATTAGAGCAAGAGGCTAATCCTGCTTTGGACAAGCTAATTTCGAAGATTAGTACCCGTCATCTCGAGCGGGTCCGGCAGATTAAAGCTCGCTTGGTCGCGCTGACGGGAAGAGTTCAAAAGGTTTGAGTTTTCATTCCTGCAGAATTCCATAGAATTTTCCTCAATGCTGGTTAACTTCAATAATGTTGGTAAGTGTCGAAGAACTATTGGTAGAGAAAATGACTCGTGCCTTTTTTTTTTTTTTCTAAATTAACTTATTGGTAACTTATCAACACTTTTATGTAAAACCTAACTTTTTTTATAGTATGTAAAATACATTTTTGTACTAATTTACCAACTTTTATTAGCATAAATTTACTTGCCCTTCGAATTGACTAACTGTTTTACGAAATTACCAACCTAAATTAGATTAACTTACCAACGTTTGTCAGATTAAATTACCACTTAGTTTTGGATGATCAACTCTCATTTGAGTTACTTACTAACATCTAATGTTTTATTTTAATTTACCAGTTAATCTAGTGAGTTAGCAAATTTCATTTGCCTAGTAACTATTTTTTAGGAATTGTCAACCGAAATCATGTAACAAATTTCAAGCGAGTTAACACTTGTATTAGTTCGTCTAAAGAAAAAATAGTGAGTGAATGAGTAACTGAGTTAGCTCTTGGGATTTTATGATATCACAATTGATAAATATTTAAGTTGTTAAATGAAGGTATTATTTAATATTAAATATTATAACACTTCTCATCACTCGAGAAGTTGGCCTTAGTGTAAGAAAATATAAAATTGGGGTCGGGGAGGCATATAGAGGCCGCCTAGAAAGTTCTATGATACAAATGCAAAAGGAGCCACAGTCAACTAATCGAAAAGTTTAAACTGTAAGATGAAAACGTTGTTTTGATATTATATTCCATGACACAACTAATTAGCAAAAACGGTTCACCATGGATTTTTTCATCTCTAGATAAAGGACGAGATCGAGCATCTTCTCGAGGATGATGGAGACATGGCAGAGATGTACTTGACCAGCAAACTACTCCAAGATGAAAATGACAAGTCTTCATCTTGTTCTTCCTCGATCACCGAGGAGGAAGATGAACTTCATGAACCAGACAAAGAAGAAAGGCAAACATTCTACGTCTCTAGCATTGTGTTTTCGATCCTGGCCGAATAATTTCGAATTTTTTTTCTATTCTTCAAAGCTTTTTCCCCTTAATTATGCAGGAATCGCGAAGGAGACGATAGAATCACACCAGATGAGAGTTCGAGTTCTCCGCGCAGATTGCTGAATGATGATGAAATGGGAGGAGGGATCAAAGAAAGTAACTCTCATGGTGGCTTGAGCATGAGCAAGCACTTTGATGGCCCAGGCAAGCACCTTGGCGTGGCCGAATTGGAAATGCTCCTAGAGGCTTACTTTGTGCAACTTGATGGCACACTCAACGAGCTATCCACGGTACAAATCTCGAACTTTACACTCGAATGCGCGCGCGAACTCATGACAACGAATCTCATTTGATTCCTTACAAACATTGTCATCTTGTCTCTGTTGAAAGCTAAGGGAATACATTCAAGACACGGAGGACTATGTGAACATAATGTTGGATGACAAGCAAAACAATCTGCTGCAAATGGGAGTGGTGATATCGACAGCAACACTATTCATCACCATGTTCATCATCGTGACCGGAATATTCGGCATGAACATCACAATCGCACTCTTCCAACCTCCAAATCCAACAATCAACAATTTCCTCTGGACAGCAGGCGGATGCACGGTCGGGATAATCGTCTTGTATGCTATCGCAATAGCATGGTACAAACATAAACGGTTTATATAGCTATTAGGTCAAGATCAATGTCACTCGGAGAATGTTTTGGGTGGAAACACAGATACGGACAGTATGCGTGGTATAGTTAAAGGAAAAGCTTATGCTTTTACAATATGTGTTTATCTTTAGGTTTCCAACACTTACTTGAGCCATGTATCAATATTTATTGGGTCGATTATGAATTACGACCTTTTCTAATGATATAAGAATTTTATTGAAGTTACCGAATTTTATATCTGATTATCAACTTTATGTGAGTTACTTATCAACTAGGTATGACTCTTATTTGAGCCACTAACAGACGTTGATTAGTTCATTTTGAGTTACAACTTTTCTAATAAGTACTAGCTTTTATTGAAATTATCAACTCTTATGTCAAATGATCAACTATATTTAAGTATTTACTGGCGTTTTTAAAAAGTTACTAACTAGTTTTAGGTTATTAAATCTTTTTTGAGCCACTTATTAATGTTGACTAAGTTGTTTCCGAATTACCAAATTTTCAAATAATTTACCAACTCCTATTGAATTTATCAACTCTTATACGAAATTACCACTTTATTTTGTGTCACCTAGCATAATAAAATTATATTTTATCCTTTATTAAAAGTTGGTCACTTCAACAAGAATTGATAAATTATTGGCGCAGTTTATAATTTTGAATCGATCAAATTAAATTTAGTGAGCGGCTCAAATAAAAGCAAGTAATACTAAACTAGTCGAGGGCTTCATAAACAAAAAATTGGTTAATAACTCCAATTGGTATTTTCATGTAGACGGGGGTATACTTCAACTTAAGAGGGTAAATTACTTCCGGTCCAAATAAGATGGTGAAAAGAAAAATCGGAACTTGTCTTTCTTCGTGGACTCGATATGAATTCCTTAGATTCTTGAAATATGATTGACTTGATCTATTAAATTAGTTTATGCAATAGTTGCTCCGCATATTATGGTGTTTACCCGACATGTGTGGCTCACTCTTATTTTTTTCAACGCATTTCAGATCGAATATTTTAGCATTTTTTTTAGAATCTTTGATAGTGAATATTTTAGCAACTTGATGAACAGGCATTAAGGGAAGTCAAAAGCTGAAACCTAATAATTTTTTAAGGACATCCATTTGTACAATCATCGACATTGTCATCATGTGAAACTGGCATTCACTTCCTTTTTTGCAAGACAACTCCCTCAAGTCAACTTCGTATCATATATCTATTTATTAGGTTGTCAATTGGCATAATTCTTCTTATATAGACAGGGTTTTGGTTAGTTTGATTTATTATTGTAACAGTAAAAAAATATATTAGACCCTGCAATACCAGCCCTTGTCGAGCCTTGCTTGTAATGTGTGTAGCTCAGAGTGCTTGACATGGATCGACCCGATGGGTTTGGGTCATGAATTGAATGTTGTGCATCAACCACGTAATAGACGAGAATGAAAGTGAATAAACGAACCAAGATCGTGGTTTCTACAAGAATCATTTTGATTCAATTCAATCAAATCAATCACGTATTAACAATCCACGAGAAATCCATATTGTATCATCTAAATATTATTGCACTGTTTACAGCAGAATGAGAAAATTATCCAAAAAGTCATAAACTTATTGCGTTTTTACCAATTCAGTCATAAACTTTTTAATTGTATCGATTGAATCCTAAACCTTTTCATGCTTTGCCAATTGAGTCCATTTGGTCAATTTTGGCTAGAAATCGCTGATGTAGACGATAGCTGTCCTACGTGACACGATCGGCGCTGACGTTGACATTTTTTATAATATTTTTTTTCTTTTTTCTTTTCTTCTCTTTTCCTTCTTTACTTTTTTTTTCTTTTTTTTAAACATTTTCCCCATTTTCCCTTTGCCAGACTTAGTTGAGGGACTCCCACACTTGGATTGGCGACGGTGAGGGTTGCCCTTGCCAAATCAGGCGAGGGCGAGGGCGGCCCTTGCTAGGCTAGGTGCAGGCGTCCCTTGCCCGAGGCTGGCGAGGGCGGCCCTCGCCTAAGCCAGGCGACCATTATCGGCCATTGCCAAGTCTCAGTAATAGCCGGCGAAAATATTATTAAAAAGAAAAAAGAAAAAAAAGTAAAGAAGGAAAAGAGAAGAACAGAAAAAAAGAAATAAATAATTTGTAAAAATATTAAATATATTATTAAAAATGTCTATATCGCTGGCACGATCGATGGCACGGTTAGCGTTCATGTCAGCGATTTCCGGCCAAAATTGATAAAAAGTGAAAATGTTTATGACTCGGTTGTTAAATTAAAAGGTTTAGGACTGAATTGGTAAAATTGTAATAGGTTTAGGACTATTAGGATAATTTTCCTAACAAAATGATAAATTATTCCTGCCAAATCTCTTGTAAAATAATTCTATAGAATGACCTTCTCTATTTTTTTTGGGTCATAATAGAATGACCTTGATAGTGCGTGCTTTCTGCACCAAAAAAGTGATTAAACAGGACAACCTACGACAATGTTTATGGATAACCCACCCAGTGAGGGCCGTCACTGCATATCACCTGGCTCGTTAAGCACAGTCCACGCCATACATAACACCCAACAATCATGCTCTATAGTTAATTCAACGGAGAGTCAAATAGACCCTGCTCCATTAATGTCTGCTCACAAAGTAATCTTCACTAATGGCCGTGTCGAGCGATCATCTTTCGACGATGCCCCGAGATGACCCCGCGGTGCACCCGGCCCCAATCGACACAGGAAACACGAAGGATCATCGGCACCAGAAGAAGGCGGTACGGCTCAAGACCTGGCTTGTCATTGACTCGACTGGCCGGGTCCAGCAGATTGATGTCGGGAAGCAGTCGATCATGCGCCGCACGGGGCTCTCGGCCCGCGACCTCCGGATCCTCGACCCTTTTCTCTCGTACCCGTCGTCCATCACGGGCCGCGAGAGAGCCATTGTGATCAAGCTGGAGCACATCAAGGGGATAATCACCGCACATAATGTTTTGCTGCTGAACTACAGGGACCCAGCGGTGGTTCCTTTCGTGGAGGAGCTCAAGCGACGGTTCTTGCATTATCATGAAGCCAAAGCAGTGAAGGTTTTCAATCTTTCCTTGATTCAGAATAGATGTTTTATATTTAGTTGAATTAGTATTGTGTTCATTTCGGATTGAAGAATGCATTTTTCACGTTAATGGGAACTGTTTTACAATATATAGTTGACTACATATCCTTCCATAGGTAGACATATTTATTCACGGTGATAAATACATTGTCCTAAAACCTGTGGATTTGTCGCTTTATAATATATATTTATATATATTATTTTATCTTATGTAGAATGGGTACTACGTCACCCCATACTTCGCTAACTTTATTGTCATGCGGGTCCTTAACGGTTGACGTGATTGTGAAAGCGCTTGAACGAGCTAGATGCGAGGCTCTTTCAGAGCCCCTCTTCTTTCGTGCGAAGACTGGATTAAGTGCGCTACTGTAGATCTTCACAGCGACTATAAATCTTCATAGGTTCTTTTTATCTTTCCACAAACATAGGACAGTTCGAACCCCCGATTGGCTAGTAAGAAAATATTGGCCTTGTGCTTTTCTAATTAGATTCGCGGAAATGGCGGCGATGAGCGAACTGCAGCGGAGCTAGCAAAAATCATCCAAGGCTCGCAAGAGAGTGTGGAACACAGTCAAGTGTTGAAGGAACAACAAGACAGATTGCAGACTCTTCCTTTCGAGTTTGTTGCTTTAGAGGCATGCCTTGAAGCTGCCTGCTCCTGTTTGGACGACGAGGTACAGAGTCTCTATGTTGTTGGTGTTTCTTTATTTGATTAGTCAGTACTTAATGCTCATAAAGCTAATCAACTTATGTGAAAATTCAGACAAAAGCATTAGAGCAAGAGGCTTATCCCGCTTTGGATAAGCTAACTTCAGAGATTAGTAGCTTCTACCTCGAAAGGGTTCATCAAATTAAGGGCCGTTTGGTTGCATTAACTCAACGCGTTCAAAAGGTCTGAGACTCCTCTTCTCTATCTATCCTTAAACTATGTTTTCCTCGTACTTGAAATTGGGTTCGGCATCTAATAGTCACGTCAATCAGTGACGAATCTCGATAAGCTTGTAGAAATTGGTTGGTCTTTTTTTATATGCATGAACGGATTAATACCCTTGGGTTGGCGCAGTTGTTTAGGGCGTTGGAGAATTTCCAGCTCAATTGGAGCTCACCCATTTAAATCCGACTGCATGCAAATTACTTTGAATCAGGATCATTTGCATTTTGCTTTGGGTGTAATTTTGGGCTGTGAAATACTTGAGCGATTGTAAACTCTGTATTCTCTTAATTCAAGGTAGATTTTTTACGTCCGACTATCTCTGTGGAGTATGTATCGATACTTAGATCGAACCACGTTCTTTGGTGTTTTTTTATTGTTCCTCATTGGTTTCTCTAATATTTTTCCTTCTAGCTTAAGCATAAATTGCAAGATCCGTTAGTTTTTGCATTATATTACAATAATTGTTATTAGAGTTAAGGTTAGAGTTTCTAGAGTTGATTTAAGGCTTTTGCTTGTTTGATCACTATTTGGAAAATGTCCGGAACAAAAGTGAAGATTCAGAAGTTCAATGGGAGGAACGGATTTGGGTTGTAGAGCATTAAGATGTGTGCTCTATTTACAACCTTGGTTTTGGCAAAGGTATTAGATGACAAGGATAAATTGCTAGAAACGATGAAGGAGGCCGATAAAGTAGAGTTGATAGAGAGTGCGAAATGCATAATTCTATTGAATCTATTGGATGAGATATTGACTGAAGTGACCAGAAAGATGTCGTAGCATTGTGAGCAAAACTTCAAGCATTTTATTTTATGAAGGATTTGAACAATCACTTATATATGCTGAAAATGATATTTAAGTTCCAGGTGGTTGAAAATACATCTATTAAAGCCCATTTGGATGAGTTTAATAAACTCATGATGGACTTAAAGAACGTCAATGAGGCCTTTCATGATGAGAAACAAGGCATTACGTTGTTAGCGTCT